ATAATATAATAATATAATAATTATCTTTTTTCATAAAATATTTAAAATAAATTTTTTGATTTTTCACAATTTCGGAAATTGGTCCATGGGGAACTCAACCACAAAAATATTTCGGATCGACAAGCACGCAATTTTATCCCCAACGCTGATTATGAGTGCGTTCCACATGAAGTTACACATGGAACGCATGATGTATCATTTGTCCTTGCTCTTTACCAATTATTAAAAAAGGATAAAACAATACATCATGCGTAATTCAGAATGCATTCTATATTTATAAATGATTATATTTATATGCTAGATAGAAAAATGAATACTTATCGAACAATTATTTATTAATTATGAATTTCTTTTTACAACGTATAAAAATTCAATTTTGATAATCTTGTATTTAATGTATATGTATATTCACTGAAAAGATTGCAGCAGATTTTTTTCTATGGTTTTCGGAATGCAGCCTATTCACCGAACGATTGATTTTTACTTACGGATCCATAAATAAGAATCAATCACTTGGTGAACAGACTGCATTCCGAAACTTATTTAAAAAAAGTGTTGCAATCTTTTAGTTGGTGAATGTACAAACGAACAGTAATGCATCCCAATAACTCTGATTGATTGATTCCCATTCTATTACTTTTCCGAGATTTCGTTTTCCGAAATTCAGATTGTCATGGGAACAGCAGCTTCAATTTCATGATTAGTGATTTTTGATGAAGTTGTTGGCACCTTGATGTTTCGAAATCAGAGTTTTGATAAAAGTTTTGGATTCTTTAGAACAAGAGAAAAAGTTCTTGATAGATTTTAGAAAGAATTCCGTTCATTCCGAACAATAAAAAATGAACTTCACAAAATAGAGATGCTTCACACTCAACATTAGTACCGAATAATTTTGAATAGTCTATTCAATGTCTTTTGGCAAGTACTAAAGTTCCTGATGTATAACAAAATTATTTTTCAATTATTAAAAAAAATTTTTTAATTAAAAAAATAAATATCAAATTTTTTTCGGAAATCCGGTATCTGACAAGAATTCTTAGCCTACAAAAGAGTTCTAACGATTATCCTTGAAAATCGATGCGCTAAAATTATTAATAACTAAAAAGTTCGAGAATATTCTTAGATTTCGAATTTTTTCAAATCATATAGATAGAAATTTTTTTCGGAAATCCGGTGTCTAACGCAAATTCTGATAACCTCCTCAAGAATTCTATCGATTGTTCTATAGGGATTAAAGTGAAATGAAAAATAGAGAAATTGTAGCTTTTCAAAGTTTCAAAATTGTGAAGTTGGCCATCCCCCTTATTTCAAACAATGTTTTCATTGTTTTAATCAACGGAATTCTTGTTAAAATTGAAAACTCTAAAAATTTTTCGGAGGGAGGGGGGTTATCCGAACTCTTGTTAGGACACTGAATTTCTGAAAAAAAATTATCGATTTATCGAGAAAAATTCGAAATCTGAAATTTCAAAGTTCTAGAATTTTCTTTTTTAAATTATTAATTTCAGCGCATCGATTATTAAGGATAATAGCTAGAATTCTTCGCGGAGCTAATAGAACTCTTTTCAGAATGTGGATTTTCGAAAAAAATTTAATATAAATAATATTAATATAAATAAAATTAATATAAATTATAACATAAAAAATTTTTTTTTTAATAATTAAATAATTTTGTTATATCTCTAGTATTGTCAAAAAACATCGAATGGAGTATTTAGAACTATTCGATGTTAATGTTGGGTGTAACGTTAGTACCCCAACTATAGTACTCAGGAGTTTTGATTAGAATTCCCGTTTTTTTTTTGATGAAGTGTTTTATATTACAAATTGAAGGAAGTAAGAATCTATGCGATAATTAGTGCGTTAATATAATAGATTAATATAATAGATTTCATTCAATTTCTATTGTCTCTTCGATTTAGACATACATTAATTTCGTACACATTTCGACTTGATTTAAATCATTCTCAATGAAATATATAAATAAAATATACTATCTTGCAATATGTGCAATCCTGGTGCCAATTATCCGCCTTATTGTGATGTTTCCTTGTGTTCTAGTTCATAGTTAGTCATTCCAATAAAACATAGAAACTCAACAAGGGCTATAAAATATACAAATTTAGTAATAACCGTCTATGGTATAAGATTGTATGTACAGAAAACAGATAGTCACTCATCAAATTGCAAATTATAAATTGCATAAATTGCATTTATATAAACGTTAAGTAGTCACTAATGTACAATATAAAAATTTTATAACAAGAGTTCCGCTTAATAATTATTTTAAAATAATTTAAAAAAAATGAGGTGCTAACTTCTTATCGAAAATCGAGATTGAATAGTTTTGAGTAGCCTAATAGTTTCATTTCATGAATCTAAAGTTCCTGATGCATGAAAAAATTAAAAAAAATAAAAAAAAAGTTAAAAATTTTTGAAAATCAATTTTTAGACATAATAATTCTGATTAGAGTTCCTGCTTCCTTTCAACAAGAGTTCTTTGTGTTTTAACGCGCGAGAAATAAAACGATAAAACTATTAAGCTCAGAATTATTCAAGCTTGAATTTTAATAAGAAGTTAACACCCCATTTTTTAAAATTGTTTAAAAATCATTATGCGAATCTCGCGTTAAAAAGTACAGAAAACTTCACTGATATGAACCTGACGTTCAACTTTATCAAAAATAAAAATTAATACCGTAGGCCGTTTGTACTTTTGTTTGTACTTGTTTGTACTTATCATTATTTCGTTTGTACTTCAAACAGTTAAACAAAAAGTGAAAAATAAAAAATGGCCAGCGCGCAACTTTAAGATTTTTTAATTTATGCCATTCGAAAGAGAATCGTTTGTACCCGTTTGTACCTCTCCTACTTTCGTTTGTATCTCAAAGGGTTCGAAGATACAGCGTGTTTCAGTTTTTGCGCGACCTCTATATAGCGAACTTAGCCAATTTTCAAGATATTGAAATAGGACCAACGGCGAAAGAAAAGGTAAAACAATTCTTTTTCGAATGTTGTTGGTCCCATATCTTCAAAAATTTTTTTAAATGGCCGACTTCCCCTCTTGGCACATTTTCGAAATTTTGAAATCGCTGTATCTCCGAACTCTTTGAGATACAAACGAAAGATACAAACGGGAGAGATACAAACTATCGGGATAAACGATTCTCTTTCGAATGCCGTTGGTCTCATTTCGACTTCTGAAATTGGCACCTCATTTTTCAAAAAATGAAATTTTAGTCACAGTTCCAAATGCATCTCGAAAAGTTCTGGAGTTCCTGCCCAAAATTAGGATGACTTCACAAAACGCAGAACGAAAAATCGCGATATCTTCTAAACCATTAATCCTAGCGCTAAATGATAATAACTTTTGATAGAACTCATGCCACTCAGAATTATCAACAGCTGTAATGTTAAAAAATTTTTTGTCTCAGATGTGAGAGAATCAGACATTCCAAAAATTGCGATATTTCTTAAACCGTTGGTCCTAACGCTACAAGCATTAATAACTTTCGTTAGAACTCGTGTTATCCAGAACTGTCAATAAAATTGCCAGAACTTTTAAAAAATTTTCATTTTCTAAGTCTCTAGTCAGAACTATTGTGTCTAAAAATTGATTTTTCAAAATTTTTTTTTTTATTTAAAAAAATTTTTTTCATGCATCAAGAACTCTAAATATTCATGAAATAAAACTATTAGGCCGCTTAGAGCTATTCGATCTCAATTTTCGATAAGAAGTTAACAAACCCCCATTTTCAAAAAATTATTTTAAAATAATTATTAAACAGAACTCTTGTTATAATTATTAAATTATATAGAACGCTTCGTTTTGTCAAAAGAAAACGGGAATTCTATCGGGGACGAGAATTAATCAGAATTCCTGAGTATTATAGTTGGGGTGCTAATTTCTCCGAAATTACTCTTAGTATAAACTATTTATTTTTTAAGTGTTGTGGTTAGCAAAAAAATCGAATTTTATTTTTTCGATAATACGTTGCCTGAGGATCATTTTAGTACCAAATATATGCGAGCAAATAATTCTGTAGACATTGTTTAAAGGAATTTATGATGCAGCTAATTGACTAGAAGAAAATCTTTATTTTTTACGTTTTACAATTAACAAAAAATCGAGTTTTGTTTTTTTCAATACATTCAGTACATTGACTAAAACAATTATTTTGATATCAAATATATGCGGGTAAATAATTCTGTGGAAATAGAAAAAGATTTTAAATCGCGGTACGATGCGTCCTTGATAAACTATTTTAACTTGATAATTATTTTTTTACATATTAAAGTTAGTAGAATATTGGATTTTAGTATGTTTCAATAGTACAACGTCTCGGGATTATTTTGACATCAAATACATGTCAGCAAATGAATATTTAGTGATAGAGAGGTTACTTATCTTGCAGTACGTGTGAACTGGTATTTCTTTCAAAATGTTAAATTTTCAAATTTTTTTGTATTATCTTGAAGCAAAAAAGCAAAAAAATCTGACTCGATTTCATTATACTGCTACTGTATATATTTTTTTAGTATGGAAAGTTCAGCTTAATAACTTGAATTTTCTTCCGTTAAATGTTTGCTTGAGCAAACAATTCGTTTTTCAGCAAGAAATTAGCAAATAAAGAGTTAATTAATTTTTAAGTTTAAAGTTAATTAAATTTTTGACCTATTGCGAATGATTTGCGATGATGGGGGTCCAAGTTAATAAGGATAAAAAACCGAAAAGAGCAAATTTTTAATTAAATTTTTTATATTTAAAAAATATTTAAAATATATATTTAACAAGTCATTTTTTGTAAATTTAACTGTAATACAATAGATAGTTTCTATCTATTTTCATACATTTTTATATCTTTGAAATTATTTTATTTTAGTCAAAGTTATTAATATATGTTAATATATGTTATCTTTTTAAATTATAGCGAAGAATCTAGAGCGCTTGTGGATAAAATCTTCTCGCAGGTGGAACAACTTAAGATAGAAGAAAAGTTATTGTTGTACCTGAAACTTCCGTTATTGCTGACAAATCCAAGTGGGACCGTCGATCCATTAAGGCAACCACTAAATCCATTAGGAAATCGTTACGAAATTCATCAGACCATTATGTGGATTAAGACTCATTTAGAAGAAGACCCGGATGTATCTTTACCGAAACAAGAAGTATATGATGAATACAAGTAAGTTGTCCGCTACAGGGTGTACTCTAAATACGCTAAAAGATTTTAAAGGTGATTTCTCACAGAAAATCCAGACGAAAATTTTAAGTGATTATATGTCCAAAATGATTTATTTTCAAAAATATATGGTCAAAGTTAAAAAAAAAATAATTAGAATAGCCTGGATGGTTTTCGAAATTTTTGAAAAAAATTTTTTTTAGCATCATGTATCTTTGAAAATAAGTCTTTTCAGACATATGAAGTTCTTGTCTTTTGAATTTTTGTGAGGATTCACCCTTTAAAATCTTTTAGCATACTTAGAACATATATAGAAGAGAAAAACTTGGATGTCTCTATTTATTTTTATAATCAAATCACTTAAATTTAAATAAATTTTTACTTAGCAAGAATTTACTTAACGTATAATTCTCAAATTTCTATTTAATTTGAAAATATCAAATTAAAATGAGAAATTAACTATCTATATGTCCATTTATGAAAGAATATGTTACAGAAGAATATATTATTTATAGAAAAATATATATTGTAGAAGAATATATTATTTATATATAGTGAAATTTCGCAGATAATTATTTGATTGTTTGTGAAAATATCTGTTTTCTAATAACTTTTTAAGAAGAATTTTTTTTCTTTAAGATATTGCATATGATTTTTATTTTTAGCATGTATTGTATAAGAAATTCTATGAAGCCGTTATCGACGGCTGATTTTGGAAAAGTCATGAAACAAGTATATCCACGAGTGCGCCCTCGTAGGCTCGGCACACGAGGCAACTCTCGTTACTGTTATGCTGGTATGCGCAAGCGAATTAAATTGGATCCTCCAACACTGCCAAAGATATCTGGCTCTCAAACTGTGAGCAATAAACAAATAATATATTCTATAATTCTCGCGTAATATATTTTATCGATAAAACTTCTTGCCAGAAATTATTTGAATTTTTTTCTTATATATTCTCCTTCATCTCTTTCTTTCTATTTTTCCCTTCTAATTTTTCTATTTGCTATGACTTAAACTTAAAGTATTGTGATCGTTATATTAATATTGTACGACATGACAATTGTTTCATTTGATATATTTTATTGTTTTTACTTTCTTCTGTATATAAATACTTCTTTTTAAATTTTTTTATAACCATTAGAATATGTAATATGTAAATACGTAACATTTAATTATTAATAACTTCAGGAGGAACATTTAGAGGAAAATATTACGGAAGAAATGCTAGGCGCTGCATCTACATTGATAAGAGAATGGGCAGAGAAAATGTTGGGCCCGAAATTTCCAAATTTGAGTGCCTTAGCGCGGCATCTTGTTGATAATTTTTGTGTTGATACTCGGTCTTTAGCTGCTGTGTGCATTCTTTCAGCTTCAGATCAGCGTGATACTTCATTTAATAAAGGTGAGCAATTGAATTAAGTTTATAAAATTTCTTTTTTTTCTATTTTTTGTTTCAATTAAAATATTAATTCGTAATTCTCAATCGTTAGAGGTGATTTCGGATCTACCAACACCACCCGTAAGTGGTAAATCCGTTAAGCTTCGAGAAGCTCAGTTACAATTGCAGCGCAAACTTCAACAACGCGAGTATATAAAAGATCAGAAGCATCGTTGTCCTGATTCTATTGTACAGGTATATAGTGTAATGTAATATTCTAATTTAGTTGATAAAATATGGATATGTGCAAAGTTATCTTTTAATGATCTTTTTTTTTATTTTTTATGCTTTTGAGACGTTAATGAAGAGTGGAATAGTGTGTCAGTTCTCAATTTTTTACTTCGAAGATATTTAACTTCAAACATTATTTTCTTATAAATTTATTAATCTCTGACTTTTTTAAATTCTTTGTATTTATTTCCTGTTGTTCTTTTTTTTTAAGAATAAAGGGATGTTTAAAAAAAACATCAATGTTATAATAATCGATAATTATCAGTAAAACTGACTTTTAATTAATTTATTTATTGAAGAAAAACATCTATGTTGATTATAAAAAACATATCATATCATATAAATATAAATATTAATACAATGAAACAAATGCGTTTTAATTTGAAATATAATAGATAAAGTGCGTTTCATTTAACGTTCATAATGCTCGCGAGTATCATTTCATCCTAACATCAAATATTAAAGGATAAGATATACATGCGAGTATTTTGAATGATGGATCGCACCCATAGAAAATTATGAGAGTAGAAAGGAGGAAAGAAAAGAAGAGGAAAGAGAGAGATTAATAAGAAATTTTAATAATTTTTGTTATGTTGTACTAATATTTTTTAAATAGAGAATATCAAAAGTTAATAAAATATTTTTAATTCAATTAATTGATAACTTGATTATATTTTGAATCCAGGATATAATTTTATTTTTACAGAGCAAAGAAAAATCCATTGATAGTAAGGGAAATATCAATAAAGGATGCAAAAAGATTAAATCCAATCAGTCACCTCAAGGTACAAATGCAGCAGCAACAACAATAGTTGCACAAAACTCATTAACAAAATTGAACTTATCTGCTGTAGTTTATAACCGGCAGAAAAAGGTATCGAAAACTTACAATCAACAGCAACAGCAGCAACAACCTTGTAATGTCTCTCAAGAGTCTAACTGTGATAATCTAGTGGTACAATCGCGCAATGACAGACAGAATAATAGCAACCCTAGAATAATGTTGAATGCGCAGCGCGATGTCAAAGGTAAAAATGCCAGGAAACGTGCCAATAATCCAATTGTAGCACAACAGGAGCCCAGCCCTGAGAAACAGACGAAGCTCGCAGAGGAGAGTCCAGAGCATTCCAACGCTTTGTTACCCAAGTTAGCTTCTATCCAACGTGGCGGCAAGATATCAGTAATACTAGCTAGCTCAAAATCTATCAAATATAAAGCAGTTGAGACTGCGGATAGTCAACTTGTTAAAAACTGTGATATTGACTCGTCGAAGAGTTGTTCCACTACTGGTAACATAGTGGAAACATCTTCGGGACTCCTTACGAGGGACCAGATTCGCCTCTTGCAAGATACACCGGTCTTCAAAGATGGAAAGGTTCGTGATATCGACACGGACGCTTTGGATGATTATCTAAACGGTGGAAACAATTCGCAGGAGCAAGAGGAGGAGTTGCTACAGTATTTTCAACAAAGTAGTTCATCTAGTTCTGATGTGGAAACTAGCGTCGTTGGTTCCGATACCGAGCAGATCTCTCGATCAGACAAAGTGTCGCAGCTGCGATTGATATTGCAACAGAATTTGAAAGCACCCGTTATTGCCACCGATCTGATGCCCGTAACCATCGTTCGACAAAGCGTTGCTGTGGAAAAACGGGAGCCTGCACAGAAACATAATCTCATACTCCCAACACTTCTAAATCATCCTAATCCGAGTAGCACTCGACGTCGTGTTAGTTTCGAAACTAATGTCGTCGAGCATGTCCAAGAGACGACAACGCCCAGTGTAGCCAATACTGTGCCACAGAGTCCAAATACGCGACGCAGAATATTTAACTTCACGCCGATCTCACCCGGACCGCATTCTCCCATTAATGGCCGCGCGTCTAAGTCAAATTCGGCAAACGCAAGCCCGTTCGTATCTCCGCGTAACACCCCGGTGCCGAGATCACGTAGTAACTTGCAAGCCGGCAGTTCCAGATCGCGTGGCCAAAAGACGCTCTCTCGTTCCATCTCGTGCAGTGTACCGTACACCATTAAAACTACGGACACCTTTATCGTACCAACATCGAGCGGAGCGGAACACTCGCGGCAAGTGCTGACAGTGGCAACGAACAAGTCATCGGAGGTACAGACCGGAATTGAATACAACAACTAAATTCAAGTCCAACTAGAGTTCTTTTTGACAATGATAATAAAGAATTTAAGTATATAGACAAGTCAATACAATTGATTGATACACAATTGATAAATGCAGATATTCATACGATATTCAAGACATATAGTATTCAACATATAATATTCATAGTCCTAGTTTATACCGAGCACTTGATACGTGTATTAACTAGTAATTTTCTATTAAATTATTTTAATTTTAGCAATATATTTAAAGAATGGTGTGCTAAGCTGGTATAATATGCATCTAGATGATTAATTAAATAGTCATATCGTATATACGTTTAACGCATCGTCGAAATTAAAATAATTTAATTTTAATAGGAATTGACCTACTAGTTAGTACGCGTATTAAGTGTTCGATATAAACAAAGTCAAAATTTATACCAGTAGTAAATATTTGACTAAAAAAATCTGAGATTGAAATTAATTAATTAATCATCTTTTGTTGTAAATATATATTATACTTTCAATACATATTTTAATATTAGGTGTGGGAAAAAGTTCGTGGCGTTTTTCCCGTTAGATGGCATTAAAAAAATGCCACAAACTTTTTCCCATGTCTAATAATACATACTTTCACTATATCACGCGGATATTTGGACTTTGCTTTGGGATTGTATCAGTCGGTGTATATGCTCGCTTAATATTTTCCTAAAAGCTAATATATTTTTATGTTTAATTTTATTAATACCAAGTACTGCTCCCGCTCCATTATTCGTACATACGGATCTGGATTGGTTTCATAGGTATCCACTAATTCGGGTACCTGTAGAATGGTGTATGATGAGTATCCAAAGAATCATATAAGAACGATACGGGTACCCGTTTTGATACGAGTATCCACTACATGCTATAAATATTTGCATGTAATTTTGTCAATTTTAAAGTGTTTTTTTTTTAATAATTTTACAATTGTTTGTAGTGATTCTCATTCCATTTGTAATTAAAATATTCCAGAGCTAAACTGTTTCGTTTTCGCATTATGGATATTAAATACATTTCCAAATTTAATTTGTTTTGCAGGGACTATATGACTGATTCATCCTTAATTTAAACTATTTAACTATTGTACAAACAAAATGAAAATTAGTATAAATTCTAAAATGCCTTTAAAATTGACAAAATTGTACGCAGATATCTGTAGCATATAACGAATATGCCTGTATCGAAACAGGTATCACCCATGCGAGTACCTGTAAATGGTTCTGCGGGTACCGAATTAATGAGTACCAGAGCCATATGTACGGATAACGGGCGGGTACTGAAATTTTATGTTACCTAGTTCCTTTTCTTAGCTCTAGTTTTAAATTGTATGTATAAAGTAATCTATAAATAAAGACATTCAGTCTTTTTGATAAAATATTTATAAAATATTTTCCCCGATACAGGTCGTTCTGAAGGGACCACCATGCACTGCATTTCTGGACTTGACGCCTCAGAAACAATTACTAATTAATTATCCAAGTCAAGAAAATTTACAAGAGGTCAAGAATGTATATCAGAAGGGTCAACCACCTCCACCCGATCAAGAAATTACGGAACTTCTTCACGCTAGCAGACACTTGAGCAATGAGCAATTATTCTATAGATCACAATCAGTGCCGTTACATAGGATGGTAAATCCCGTGTCTTTAATGTCTCCGATTTCTACTCAACAATGCCTATCATCAGTGCAAAATCAAAGCTTCAATCCATCAACAAGCAGTTCCATTGCGCCTACCCCAGTACCGAGCGAATATAATGATTTTGGTTCTTCTATCGGACAAGAGGGCACATATTTGTTGGATGACACAAACTTTATGTCAGACGAGCAGCAGTTTTTGATAACGGACAAAGGGATCGCATCTGAGAATATTAATAATATTTTTACGATCTTGGATGAGGAAGGTCAACCAAATTTGCAAATACTATCTGAACAGACTGCAGAAGAAACATTGAACAACACAATTGTTCTTGACGCTTTGCCGAATGCCAATTTAAATTTGTCGGAAGAAGATATGTTGGATACGTCGAGCATTCTCACTGATGCCGGTGGCACGTTACAGAAAATAATGCAATCACGATCATATCCGAACACGCCATTGCCAGCGCCAGTATCTGCATACACATCTTCGTATACAGAGGACAGTAATGGTTCCAGATCGTACCCATCGACACCTTTGCACACAATGCAATCCCAAGAAGTGTACCAGGATCCAGGCGAGCCGATATTATCCAGTCCTATTCTTAATTCTCTTAGTTTACAGGGTGACGTGACAAACGTCGCTGTCGCCTCCGTAACTGGCGTCACAGCTGGCACTGATGTTGTTGCCGTTGCAGCCGCTTCTTCCAATAGTCTCTGCAGGAACGTCGTTGATCTTCTGGGGGCTAGTTTTCTCGAAGAAGCCGACACGGAGACGGATGATCTGGATCCTCTTGGCAATTTTGGCCTGCAAGATATGGATTCGTTAACGCCGCTGTTCAACGAAGTCACGGAGCCTAATCGCTGAGACCATTATCTGTTCGGTCTATCATAATTTCGCATTTGTACAGGGAGAGGTGCGATAAAGTATAGACTGGGTCCCATGGTTCTCAATCGTATTATTTCATAGATCATTTTAGAGTAAACGAAAGACGGTTAAAAGCAAGATATATAAGTGAATTTTAATAAGAATTAGATATTATTCAATTTTAAGATGTAGGATATTTCAGAATTTTGCGTATATCTGTTATAATGTAATTTGATCATACAATTTAAAATATTTTAATTATTTTTTACTACAAATTGTGTATATAGATTTTTCATATAGAAGGCATTATTTCAGCTTATAGTAAATTATATTTTGACATGCAATTTACTATCCAGGCTGTATTGATGACTGTTTAATCTTCATCGCAATAAAAAGTAGTATTGAAATAATGGCATCTGAAACTTTGGAAAATTTGCGAGATTTTTAAAAAGTATGTTTTTAAATTATTAAAGATTATATTCGTTAAGTATATGATATATATGTAATTAAAAAGGAATATTTGTTTTTTTTTCTATGAATATTTGTTTTATTCCTCGGCAAAGCTTGTGACCCCCTTTACAACGTGAAAATTACGTAAATACGAATATTAAATGCAAATTGTACTTTATGCTGGATATTCTGAACACTTTATACAAGAATACAATTTGAAAGAACTTGTATGTTGGGTCTTTTTCTATTTCAATCATCTCTGTGAAATTAAATTTATACATTTTTTAATTTTATGACATTAGCTTTTATGAATGAACATCACAATGTACTTTTTGTACATTAATTAAAATTTATTATCATTATACTATTTTAATTTTACTGACAAACGATTCAATTACGTCTAATTAATTCCTATAAATTGTTATTCTGTAGAACACAGCTATTTGATGATATAACAATTATGAAAAAATTATAAAAAAGTTTTCGAAGAATTTCCATTCTATTTTTTTGAAGGAAATATAGAACGAGCAGTTATTTTACGCAATACTTGATTAATTCATATATTGCTAATAATTTTTTAAAATTCTGTATAAATCTGTAAAAAAGTCATTCAATGGATTAAATAGGGAATATTTAATGTAATTTCTAGCGAAGGATCCTGTTTGCATTTTTGATTGCATACATCGATTGCATCACTTATGTTAAATGCATCCAGAAGCACGACCGCTCACTGAACACTCAGTGAGCTCTTGTACCTGTTTGGTCTATATTTTTAGATCTAATGGAATATGCCAATCAGATGCAAGAAACTCATTGAGCATAATGAGTGAGCGGTCGTACTTTTGGATGCATCCATTGGCTGTCATTGGGTGCCTAATAATTTTTTATTGCTTTATTTAATAAGAATATTTTATTTTTAAATTAACCAATTTTTATTGATATGTGCGCAATATGTAATGTGTGTAATCAGAGTCGTCTCATGACTTTCATGTTAGGGTTGCCGCACAAAATTCCGCAACAGTGACGTGGCTCCGGCACACTAGCGCGATGTTAGTCGCGCGCTATATTCAATGACAGTATACCTTTAGAATGAGATTATTAATAAAGCTGTACATTCATTGGATATCGCGTATCGCGCGACGAACATCGCACTGGTGTGCCGGAGGCATAAGGGTGCCATTCCATAGAGCGGAAATTAATAATGGAACGGAATTCGCGGAATCAACACGACGAAGTCATTCCGCTATTTTCACTATAATTTCACCGTTAGAATTTGCGGAATAAACGGAATCTCAATATTATATGCTGTCGATATATTACAACTATTGTCTATATAATGCGATTGATTATATGTATTGTTTTTTTGTCTTCTTCATTAATATGGATACAGTAACAAAATGTCGATTTCGATGATTACAGTAAATATGAATGTAGATATTAATCAGCAGCCTACGATTCCGTTAATTTTCTTTCTCTTATGTCATATTGAGCGGTAAACGCGGAAGCGGAATCAAGTTTCAGCCAATCATGGCTTCTGCACAGATCGCGGTAACGTTTACCACGACGGAAATTGTTGTACTAGCCTATAATTCTATGTTCTCAAGTTGGTAATTACTTTGCAAAACTTTTAGAAATGATGAAATACTACTTTCACTGCGCGACAAAAGTTGAATTGAATTCATGAGTTTTACAACTCATTATTGCTTATTATTAGCACGATGAGATACTAAAGAGTTTTTCAATAAGGACGCTCAATTTTTAAATGTAAATAAAACAAGTTGTGTGTGAGATATCCACTCAATTTTTTTTTTATTTGAAAGAATATTTTATGGCATTAAGTATGGAATATAACGTCGTTCAAATGTCCGCCGCAGCTTCGCTTGATGACACGTATTCGGGCGGTCCAATTTTCGATGATTTTCTTGCATAAATCTGGCTGAATTTGTTGGATTTGTTATGTTGATTTTGAGAGCATCAATTGTTTGTTTATTCGTATAGACCTGCGATTTAAGATAGCCCCAAAGGAAGAAGTCTAAAGACGTTAAATCGCGTGATTTCGCGAATTGGTGGCCAATTCACGTCGCCGCCGCGCGAGATAACCATGCCCTCAAATCGCTCGTGCAGAATGTCCATTGTAGCATGCGGTATGTGGCACGTAGCGCCATCCTGTTGGAACCACATGTTATCGGTATCCATATCATCCATTTTAGGCCACAAGAAGTTGCTTATCATCGATCTGTAGCGCTTGCCATTGACGGTTATGGCAACGCCCGCTTCGGGCGTTTTTGGAAGAAGTACGATGATTCCGCCAGATCAAAATCCGCACTAAAGTGACTTTCTCGGGATGCATTTGGAGCTGGTGTATCTCGCATGGATTGGTATCGTCCCAAATTCGATAATTTTGCTTGTTCACATATCCATTCATCCAAAAATGGGCCTCATCGCTAAAGATGATTTATTTGGTGAAATTTGGATTAACTTCCAACTGCTCCAAAACCCAATCAGCGAACACACGGCGTTGTCTATGGTCGTTTACCTTAAGTTCCTGGGTCAGTTGAATTTTATAGGGGTGCACTCAAATCCCGACGCAAAATTCACCAAGTTGAAGTCGCAGAAAGGCCAAGTGAACGACGAGAAATTGACCGGGTTTTTCCGTATACTCTTACGCACAGCAGCGATGTTTTCAGCAGACCTTGCGTTTCGGCGACATACTGGTATTGACTGATTATTTATCAAACTGGTTGACTCGAATTTGACCACCAAACGTCGAATACTCGGCAGGACGGTTGTAGCGAGGATAAAAATCACGTAATGCGCGGAACGTTTCTCGAACCGAGCACTGATTTTGATAATAAAATTTTATGATTTGCACAGATTGCTCAACACTATGACCTTCCATGGTGATTTGCCATACACTACTAAACAATTCATGACAAATTTGACAGATGTCACTTTAACAACATGGCTACTATGATCTAACAAAGAGTTTCGAGCGTCCCTATTAAAAGACCCTATATTAAAGACCTTCCTTACGGAAGGTCCTCGTGAATATTGAAGTAATTAAGAGTTAAAAACTGATATTGTACCATTTTTTATGATTTATTAGCTTAGTAGACGTATTTATGCATTTAGAATAATATTTTTCTTTAAAATTATGATTTCAGTGTAATTGTCAAAGTTTTTTTTTATCAATAGAGATGATAACTGCAGAGAAAAATTTGTAATTTTTCTGCTATAATTATAGGATATTATAGTTCTTTACAAGTATATATTTATTTATGGAACATTTATGTAATAAAAATCATGAATTTAATAATGTATGAGTCAAATATTTGTTATAGCGATTTCGGCTAGCAACATCAACGTGCATTGGTGCATATCAAGACATACACTGTTAATTCCCGCCGCGGCAATGTATGTTTCGTTAGGCGAGATTCACGAAATGCGAACTTCATTACCAATCTATAATACTGATTGCGTGGTATCATAGTCTCAAACACTCAGTATTTGAAGGCTAGTTTTAGTAAAATGATATGTCTGACTGACCCTTTTCAGCCTAGCGATCTTTATTTGGAAGAGTACTACTACTGATTCCTACAAGAAATCGAAAATCCATTGGTCAGAAGAAAAAGAAGAAGGATTTCGCTATCCTTATATACTCCGATATAAACTTGAAGAATGTCTGAAAAATCAAAATAACACCTCATTCATAGGTTCCTTCCTTATTTTAAGAGTGGAGGAAATCTCCATGGAGGACTCCTTGATTCTTTAAGCCTCCTTGTTTCATTGATCTCAAGTCTGCCTTCCTGAAGAAAGAAATATTTTAGGAATTTTAGTAACTACTGAAGGCAGCATATCACAATATATAATATATGCAAATCTAATATCGTGAATTACGAATAATAAAGATTATAAAGGTATTGTTGATTGAATAAAATCGTGATTAATTTTTGCATTTTTGCATTTTGCAACAATGGACAAAAATAAAACTAATAGCGATTAAATGCATTAAATGCGCACTGATGCACATTAAAACTGTTATACACAAAATACATACACAAAATAACGTAAATATATGTTTATAAATAAAAATCGATTAAATCGTGAAATACTCAATACATTTTATTGCACTATTAGATAAAATAGGTGTTTCATAATTCGAGATATTTACATTTTATTTTTATACTAAAATTAAATCATTGTACAACTTTAATATGCATCAGTGCTTCCAGTCGAGTTCGCCATAATGCTTATTATACAAAGGAGAAAATGCTTTTGGCACAGTTTATTTCCGAAAAAAAATCTATCGAAAATAATTATCGATGCGACAGATCTAAATTAAAAGCTATCGAAAATAAAAAGTGTCGGTGTGACAAAATAAATTTAGAAGTTTGCTTAGTTATGGAAACTGTACCTTCTCCTCAAGGAAATTCATAATCTCCTTTGAAAAAAGGAAGCTAAGGCTTCTTATTTAATCAAGCAAAGTTTATGAAATATGAAATGAGAAACAAGGAATCTTCATTCCTCAAGAAAGGATGACTATGAATAAGGGTATAAGTGTTGGTATTAAATAGGATGTCCATCTCCAGATAAATCAAAGAATGATGTATTTAGATTTGTTAATATGGTAATGTGATAATTGTTTCGGCGAGTACTAGGAAAAAAAAAATAGAATGGCGATAATTAAAATTGATCGAACTATAGGGCCATTTTCACCAAGCCTCGATTAATAGGCCTAGTAAAAAGGAGAAAAAATGCAAAGAGAAGTTATAAATAATAAGATAAACAGAAATAAATAGATTTGTAATACTAACTTATGTAATAAGGTTTCTCTCTGCTGTAGCTGTTTATTAATAACCTATTTTTGTGTTCAATATAGTATGTAAAATTACAGTTAATTATAATTAGTGAAATATGTTTAACTCTTCAGTTCACATTTTTTTCTCGGACATCAGCTTCAGTTGGAATCCTGTAAGTTACTAGATCTGTTAAGTTAATTAGAGTTTGGTGAAAGTGGTAATAGTGAGATTTTATCTATAGATAATTTTTTTGTATATTTAAAAGTAGAGATGAAATTAATTACTCCTATAATAGAAAATATTCCAAAAAAATTATAGTAAGTCAATTGAGAGATTCCTGTGAAAAATATTAGATATAAATGGGGGATAAAGGGTTCCTTCCGCCCCAGTACCTGAATATATAAAATTTCTTAAAATAAAGAGTTAAAAAAGGGGGTAATAATCAAAATCTTATATGATTTAAACGTAAGTATGTTATGTTAGATGATCCTAGTATTAAAGGAAGTTTCTAAAAAAAATTTAAGAAGTTTCTAAAATCTCCATTCGCCATTCTTGGCTGTTTGCATCATTCACGATTTTTGAGAAATTTATCCGATTTAAGATGATCGATTTTCACTTCCTTTTTTGGGGATACAATTGATCACGTTTATCCCGATCACGGGAACCAGAATCAATCAATAACGAAGAAGAAGAATAATGTATACTATGATAATTTATTATATATAAATTTTATTACAATGGTTTCGTTTTTGAGTAGTACGAATAAATATAAATACGTAATAAAAATATAAATATTAAATTAATAGATATAGTTTAACATTTAATATACATTTGATATTACAGATTTATGTTCCTAACCTAAAACTCGCTGTAAAGCTAATTCTACAATGAGTCGGTAATCGGAAATCGTAAATTGACGCTACAAGTTGGATATTAATTTTCAAATGAAGAGCTATGCCCGGCTACGGTTCACTTGACGCTACGAATTAGTGTTTCATCAAGACAAGAGTTCTTGTCTTAAAGAGCATTTCTTATATTATCTTGATCTTTAAAAGAAATTTTGTTTTTTTTGTCTTGACAATTTCTTGACATTGTATTTCTTGTCTTGAATTTCTTGAAATTTCTTGATTTTTTAAGCAGGACCTTTGATTACGTCGCATCGTAAAAGAAAATAAGAAAACATAAGTACAAATTAAATGTCGAGTAGTTTATTATGTTTAAATTTATGATTTAAAAGTGTGCCTATAATATCTATTATGCACAAATCTATTAATAAAGATTTAAAATATTTCCCAAATTATCATTTTTAATATCATTACTGCCAAATGTAATTCATTATTTCAGATTATTAGATATAATAATTATTATAATAATTATTATTA